AATTTCCTTTCTTTTCGTGCTGATGGAGTACTGCCTGGGGTTTAAGGTCAGGCTGACTCAGAGTGATTGGGAGGCGACTCTTATTTTATGGTGGCGGACGTATTTCAGAACCGTGTCGCCTGTGTCAAGTTCTCCTTAACATTCCTGCCTTTTTCTTTTTTCTTTAATAAGAAAGGGGTGAAGAGAGAAGGGGTGGCCGTGACTCTCTAGCTACTTCCTGCTGGGAGGGGACTTCGTCCGAGGACTCCCGTCGGGCCTTGGCATTGAGCAGCTCTCATGGAGCTCAGCAGGGGGATGCTCTGCACCCTCTGGTTGGTAGTGGAATCGATGGTCCTCTGTAAAGTAGAGGTGAAGAGCCGAAACACGGAGGGCCCCACACAAGACCACAGTTATACAGAGAACTGGGAAGGAGAAGGGCGCTAACCAAGAAAAATAGCCAGGGGAGAAAACCATCCCACTCCATGTTCCATGAGGAGGAGTACTGATGGAATTTGGCAGCCTGGTCTCTTAACTTTTCATGCCTTCCCTCACCAGGCCAGACTTGTTCCTGTGAAAGCAGCAGGTCTCTCTCTCTCTCTCTCTCTCTCTCTCTCTCTCTCTCTCTCTCTCTCTCGTACCCGGGATTGAACTCAGGGATGGTTAAGTTGTACCACATCTCCATCCCTTTTTATTTTTATTTTTTTGAATTTTTTTAATATTTATTTTTTAGTTTTCGGTGGACACAACATCTTTATTATTTTTTTATGTGGTGCTGAGGCTCGAACCCAGCACCTTGCGCATGCCAGGCAAGCACGCTACCGCTTGAGCCATATCCCCAGCCCCCCCTTTTTATTTTTTATTTCAAGACAGGATCTCACTAAGTTGCTGAGGCTGGCTTTGAACCTGCGATCCACCCACCTCAGCCTCCCGAGTCACTGGAATTACAAGCGTGTACCACCGTGCCCTGGGTGGCAGAGCTCCTGTAGGAAGGGCACAGATTCCTCCTTTTTCTGCAGTTAATAAACTTAGTCTTTGTCTGTTTTGGAGGACAGTCACCACCAATGGGTCTGTTTGGTCCTGAAGCATGGACAGTTGGGTGGGATTTCTGGAAGGCTGTCCACCATTTCCTTGGATGGTCCTGCAGCATGGTGGGCGGAGACTCCTCCTACTGCTGCTCCTGGGTGGTTGCTGTGGTTGTGCACTGACCCACCAGGAGGGGAGCCAGAGGGGCAGCTCGTTTTGGTCCAAGTAGGGTGAACATTGGGATGGGGAGTGGTGCCCCCTCAATGGGCCACTGAGGGTAGGGGGTGAGGAAGGCCAGGGCGCATGTTCCTGTCCAGGGAGTGGTGAACAGATGTAAGTGCTGTTCCCACCCAGGATGAGGCTCCCTGGTTATGAAGGAGGCAGCCAGAGAGGTGCCAGGAGACTGCTGGCTGTAGTTGAGATGACTGTGGCCCCACATCCGACCCTGGTAAAAGGTAAAGGTGGCAGCCACGTGCGCAGCTCCGAGGGACCAATACTGTGTCCAGAAGTCGGGGCTCTTCAATTAGAATGTGGGGAGTTTGGAGGTTTAAGGACAGGTGCCCAGGTAAGGGGAGGCTGGCAGTGATCTGGACTGACGGGATAGGACTGCTGTTCAGAGAGGCGCACTGGTTCGTGGACCTCCACTGGGCACAGCCAGGACAGGTGTTTAGTCACAGGTGCGCTCCAAAGGGCGTGGGGAATGGGGGCTCTCCTAAGTGGCCTGTGGGTCCCGCACAGGCAATGTGCTCAGAAATGGGGCTGGGGGAGGAAAGGCACAGTTCCACAAAGAGGGAGGAGGGGGGGCCACAGGCGCCTTCTCCTGGGCCCCCGACACAGAGAGGAGCCCAGGAGGCAGGAGGTGAGCAGGGCGCCCAGCTGGCCTGCCACGGGGCAGTGATGTGCGAGGCAAGGGGTGGGCAGCCGTGTATCAGAGGGCATGTGTCACCTGGCACGTCACAAGCTCTGTTCTAACAGTTTTCTCAGGGGAGGGAGAGGAGCCCTCTGGTGCCCGCCCTGGTAGGAAGAGGCTGGCTGGCGGAGGGTGACCAGACCCAGCGGGTGGGAAGGGCTCTGGGAACAGGCACCAGGCAAGGTCCTGGCAGTGAGGACAAAGACCCAGCAGAAGTTGGGGTGGGAGAGAGACGGGCAGTAAGAGAAAGACGGGTAGTAAAGAGATGCGGGTTCGCAGGGAGCATCCTCATCCTCCAGGTCTTCGGGTTTCGGGGTCCAGCGATGGAAGTGGGGCCTGTGGAAGAGCGAGGAGGGGGGACGGGGTGAACGGTGGGTGACCAGTGGAGCTTTGCCCTTTTCAGCTTGGAATGGGGCGTCCAGGGCGGGGATGACCTCAGTGTGGCCTCCGGGGCATTGTCGAACTCCCCGATGTGGACCTACATGTTTGGGTTCAGGGGAGTCGGAGCGTCTGTTCCCCCGGCTGTGGGTTTAAAGGGCGCTGAGAGTCGGTGGGCTCAGGCAGGACTTGCTCTGCTTGTCGTCTGATTAGGCGACCTGTGGGGCGTGAGGCTGGCCAGGTGTCGGGAATGGGAGGGGCAGAAAGGAAAGCCCTGGAGCAGCAAGGGACGGCCACAGCAGAGCTCGAGAGCTCTGGTTGAGGGGTTTGGGGGGATAACTGGTAAACCAAGGAGCGCCAAGGGAGAAGCTTGGTGGGAGCATCGGCTTGGGGTGTGGTTTTAGGGGGGGCCGGGGAGCTCCCCTGTCCTGAGGGTGGGGGTGGCAGGGGTGTGGAGCCGCCATGTGATATGGGGGCTGAGACAGGTTAGTGGCCTTGGAAACGCAGGCTGGGCCACTGTCCAGTTGGACAGAGGTGGGCAGCCGATTCTGGGGTGATGTGATCAAGGAGGACGGAGGCCACCGTGGGAGCCTTCTCGGAGGTGGGAGGAAAGGCTCTAACCGCCCTGTGAGCATCCAAGGGTTCAGAAAGGTCACATGAGAAGCAGAGGGACTTAGCAAGGAAGCCAAAGTTAGGAACCCAGAGGCGGAAATAACTGCCAGTCCCAGAAAGGAGAGAGGATCACGTTGAGTGGGGACTGGCGGTCCTGAAGGAGCTGTCTAGGGAGAGAGGGAGTGGCTGGGACCTGGGGAGCAAGCGTGAGTCCCTAATGGGTCAGTCGGGCTGGAGCCACGTGGGCCTGCTGGGGGGAGGTGCAGTAGCCTAATTTATTTAGAAAATTAAGAGGAGGTTGGTGTGTCCGACAGAGAGGTCACGGGGTGGGGGGGCTGCAGAGGAGCAGGTCACCCACGTGCTGAGGCAGAGGACCAGGGAGAGGTTGGGATTAGCCAGGTCGTGAGAGAGGGCTTGGCTGAGCACAGGGCCTGTCCCTGAAGCCCCGAGGAAGGACCGTCCAGGTCAGCTGGGTGGAGAGGCGGGTGTCGGGGTCTGTCCCCATGGAGGCAGATAGATCTTGAGAGGAGGGTCTGATGGGATGGTGACTGGTGACGGGGCATCTCTGAGGCCGAGGACTGGGACTGGGTGGCAGATGAGGGAACAGGAGCAGGCGTGAGGGCTGGGACGAGGATGCGTTGGGACAGCGGCTGGTTAGTGAGGGGAGGCCCTGGACTAGGGGGACAGGACCCTCAGGCTCTCCACCAGCCAGGACTGGGGTCTGTCCCGCGGGGCGTTGGCGGGCGGAGGGTGTTAGCCCCGAGAAGACAGGAAACAATGGGCTTGGGGCCCTGAGGTCTTGGGGACTGAGAGATGTGGCCCTGTGCAGGAGGAGGCGGGTCTGCAGGGAGATCTTAACAGGAGTGTGGAGGGTGGCCGTGTGGGTTGGAGGTGTCCCCTGCCAAGGCTGACACCTCAAGGAGGAGCTGACAGGGGAGGCCTAAGAGGATAAAGGGGCAGCGGGTGTGGGGAGCTGTGGGGGGAGCTGAATGAGTGGAGGCGTTGGCTTTGGTCAGAGTGTCCCCAGCGAGGATGGGCATTGGCATTGGGTGTGACCAGGAAGGAGTGTGAGAACAGAGTGTCGGGAAGTTGCAGAGCAGAGGACCCATTCCTTTAGGGGCAGGCGCAGAGGGACTTCCCTCAACGCCAACAATAGAGGTGAGGAAGCTTCTGGAGGAGGTGAGGAAAACTTGCCCGGTCCAGTAAGAAAGAGCAAGGCTCACCAGTGCCGATGGCGTCACCCCGGGCTGGACTGAGTGATGGCGGTGGGGGTGACAGTCCAGGGGCTGTCTGTCTTCTGTTGGTCAGCTGACTGTCCTCAGGCTGAGGGGTTTCCAGCCTGTGGTGTGCATCCGTGGACTGTGGGAACTGGAAGCCAACGGGAGGAGAGTCTCGCTGAGCGCATTCCAATTTCCGGGGTCCCCTTTCGTGGCAGACAGGGTAGAGCCCTGGCGGAGGTTTAGAGTTGGGGCCTGTGTTTTCCCAGTGTCCCTGCTGGCCACATGTGAAGCAGGTGCCTGGAGGTGTGGAGGATGACATGGAGGACACCTGTTTATGGGGTCTGTGGGGCCCTTGAATGAGTGCAGCTGCCCACACTTGGTATTCAGTCTGACCTCATTTTGAGTTTTGGGGTTTAGGGGGAAATACCAGGGACTGAACTCAGGGGCACCACTGAGCCACATCCCCAGCCCTATTTTGTATTTTATTTAGAGACAGGGTCTCACTGAGTTGCTTAGCCCCTCGCTATTGCTGAGGCTGGTTCTGAACTTGTGATCCTCCTGCCTCAGCCTCCTGAGCTGCTGGCATGCACCATCACACCCAGCGAGTTTTTGGGTTTTTGATCCTCCTCTCTCTTGTTGTGGACCCTGAAGGCTGGTCTTACAAGTTCATGTTGAGGGGTCTGGTCCGTCCCCAGGTTTGGAGCTTTTCTCTGATACCTTGGGCAGACTGGGAGGTGAAATGTCAATGAAGGTAGAGTCTGCCGTCTTCTGAGTCAGGGTTGTGGTTGGTGTGTTTAATCACAGCCTCTGAGAGGCCGGAGAGGAAGGGGGCGGGGTTTCCACCAGCGCCTTATGTGATTTCTCTCATCTCTCCATAGTTAAGGCAGCCGTTTCCATTCCCGCCCGGAGGCCCGTGGTCAGGGGCCTGGCTTGGTCCTGTGGTCTGGTGGTTCCAGGTGAGGTCAGTATGGGCAACTGCGCGGTTGTTGGCAGGATTTTGGCATCTGCGTGGGCCTCAGCTGCCGACCAGATGCGATCCTTATACTCAGGAGAGACAGGAAGAAAGCATGACACAAACATCATGCCCCGTGAGGGCGCAGGACTGCGTGATGTGTAGGAATTCCTTCCAAAAGTTGGTCGGTTCCAAGTCAAAAGAGCCCAGAGGGTGAGAGGTCACCTAGGGAAGCCAGGAGGTGGACACACACAGTGCCTTCAGTACCTGCCACCTCGGGGAAGGGAGGGCCTTGGAGGGAGCAGAAGGTCCCATGGGGGAAGCCCCCAGGATGAGGGTGGGGTGGGGAGGGAAGAAAAGGGGTGAAGGGAGTCAGGATGAGCGTAAGGAGGAGGTTGATTGTGAGGCTGGAGAGAGGAGGTTCCTCTTGGGGTCAAAATCAAAGGGTTAGGGTTAAGGTTGGGGATACCTGGAGGGGGGTTGGGGAGAAGAATGTGAAAAGCTGAGCAGTTCTGGCAGAGAGAAGGTTTGGAGCCAGAGGCCTGGAAATAGGGGACCTCGGACCATTTGCCATCGTGGTGGAGAACATTTTCAAGGTCCTGGAGAATTTGGAAGTCAAATGTGCCATTTTCAGGCCAGTGACTGTCCTTGTCCAGCTTGTAGGGGGACAGGCAGGATCACAGAGGAGCACCGGTCTTTCAGGTTTGACTGTCTTGGAGCCCCAGGGTCTGGATGTGTTTGGGAAGGAACCCCAAGGAGATATCTCATGAGTACTTTGTGGGGGGGTCTGGCCCATGCTGGACAAATGGATGGAGGAGGGCCCCCAAGGATTCCAAAAATCAAAGGGCATCTCCACAAGAATTGTGTTTCTCTTACACTGTCCCAGGACCCATGGGTGGAGTGACAGGTGATGGAGGGGTGTCCCTTAAAGAAAGCCTGTCATTGCCACTACGTGGTGGCAGGGGTTTCTCCCACCCCGTGCTGGGATTTGTCAGAGGAAAAGTATCCAAGGAGAGAGAAACCGAGGCAGGGATTCCAAGAATCCAAGGGAGCTGGAGGGGGTCACTCACCCAATAGGTGAGGGCTGGTGGAGGAGAAGTCCAGCAATGTGAGTCGTCCTTACTGGAGGGAGAGGAAGGAGAATGAGAGGGGGAAAGAAAGAGACACTGGGTCAAGGTCAAGGAAAGGCCCGGGGCGGTGGGGGGGGCACCTATGGTGGGAACCTCCAACACTTGTCTGGGTTTCAGCACCAAAATATAAGAAAAGAAGGGAATGAAGGAAACGGGGTGGGCGAGGGGAGGGGCCCAGCAGGTACCCGGGTTTATTCTGTACCAACCTGCTGAGGGGGCCCAGTGGAGAGGATGTGTTCCACTTTCAGCCTGGGGTAGATAAATGAGGATGAGAGAGTGGGGGGATTTTGAGGTTAGGTCGTGGCTACGGGGTTGTCAGGGAAGGGTCCTTTGGTCCTCACCTCCATTCTTGGAGGTGGCCACTGTTCCACGGTGAACCAGGTATTTTCAGGACTCCAGTCCCAGGTAGCAGTTTCCTTCCTTTGCGTGCTGATGGAGTACTGCCTGGGGTTTAAGGTCAGGCTGAGTCAGAGTGACTGGGAGGCGACTCTTATTCTAAGGTGGAGGACATGTTTCAGAACGGTGTTGCCTGTGTCAGGTTCCACCTAACACCTATGACTAACTCAGTTTTGTAAGTTTGGCCACTAAAATATCTTCTGACTCTCCTGAGTTGTGCTCCCTGTGGCAAGGCACCTGGTCAGCAGGTGACACAGGACGAATGGAGGCAGCAACTGAACATGCAATAATACCCAGTACCTTTCTTTACCTTCGGGGATCTGCCAGGAGTGAGGATTGTACTCATCCCGTTGCCATCAGAGACCTGAGGGTTGGGGACTGTGGGTGGGATTTGGAGGCCACAAGGAGACCCTCAGGAACAAGCCAGTGCTTTGCTCATTCCTCCCATAACACTTACTGAGCACCCATAGGGGCAGTTGGGTCTTGGACTGTGTAGTACTGGGAATTCAGAACTAATACTCAAGAAGTTAAAGACCAACTTACAAGCAAGACTCTGTTATGCAATGCGAGACACGCTGCCCTGGAGCTGCGGGCACTCGGTGGAGGCATGGTTAGTTTTGCTGGGCTGGGGTGAGGTGCTGGTCAGAAAGATCTCACTGGGAAGCTGTCCTTTGAGCTGAATCTTGAGATAAGAGGAGGAGGGGAGAGTACATTCCAATCCAGAGAAGAGCTGGAACAAAGGTTCAAAGTACTAGGTGAGCATGGGCAGAGCAGAGAAATTAGAGTCCAGAATATTCTCCGGGAAGTCTGCTTGTCTTTATGTGAAGAACAACCTCTGCAGCTATTAGTCTATATCATCCTCATCAACATTATCTAAGCTAACAGTTATACAACTGAGGATGTGGCAGACACTCTGCTAAATGCTTTACTCACATTGTTTAAAAAACAACAACCCTGAAAGGTAGCTATTAGGAATACCAGTCTACAGGGAGGAAAGGGAGGGTTAAAGAATTTGGGAAGGGTGGCTCACAACTGATTCCAGGAACTCAGAAGCCTGAGGCAGGAGAATTGCAAGTTCCAGACCGGCCTGGGCAACTTAGGGAGCTCCTGTCTTAAAATAAAAATCAATAAAAAGGGCTGGGGATGAGCTTGGCGTGTGAGGCCCTGGGTTCAATGCCCAGTACCACACACACACACACACACACACACACACACACACACGATATTCATCCAGCCAGGTAAGATGGTGCATGCCTGTAATCCAGTTCCAGTGGCTCGGGAGGTTGAGGCAGGAGGATCACAAGTTCAAAGTCAGCCTCAGCAACAGTGAGGCCCTAAGCAACTCATTGATACCCTGTCTCTAAATAAAATACCAAACAGGGCCAGGGATGTGGCTCAGTTGGTAGAGTGCTTGCCTTGCATGCATAATGGCCTGGGTTCAATTCCCAGCACCACAAAAAAAGAAAGAAAACAAAACAAAAATAGGGCTGGGGCTATGGCTCTGTGGTCAAGTGCCCCTGATTTCAATCTCTGGTACCAAAAAGGAAAAATAATAATAATAATCATCATCATCATCCAAAAGCCCTTATTATTATTATTTTTTCCCTTCTGTGTTGCTGGGGATCAAACCCTGGACCTTGTTCATACCAGGTGAAGCATGATGCTCTTATCATTCTCTATATTTCCAGTTTTCTTCTTTCCATTTGCTTTGTAGATGATTTGTGGGGAGGGGGTGATGGGGTGCGCTTTTTTTCCCAAATGTGTGTGTGTGTGTGTGTGTGTGTGTGTGCACACACGCTCATACCCAAGCGCCTAAGCAGGCCTTGCTCCTGTCCAGGGAACACTCACTGGAAGTCACCCGTTGGGCTTCTCCATGTCCCCATGATGTTCCAGCAACAAGATTCTGTACAACCTGAACCAAGGAACCAAGCGTGAGATTCTTCTTCTTCTCCTTCTCCTTCTTTTTTTTAATGAGAAATATTAAACCAAAGAAGAACCAAAGCACATTCAGAAGTGTTCATTTAACCATCACCGCTGCCCAAGACATTTGCCTGGAAACCGTGCTAGTAAAGTTGTTTCTTTCTTTTTTTAAAATGGAAAGTGGTTTTTTAAGTCAGTAAAAGGAAGAGGAGTGTCGTGGGAGGGGTTGACGAGGCTCAGGTTTGAGGGTGTCTAGAGAACGCAAACCTCATTGTACAGTGATGTAAGGGAAAGGGAAAGGGACGTCATCCTGCCCAGCCCTGAGCTAGCCCAGCCTTACCACGCGGCCTCCGTGACTAGGAGGGTTTCTGAACAGAGTCAGAGTACAGATGCGTTCTATTTTAAGATGAACTGCGTCGGTTAAGGATGAATTAGAAGGGAAAGGATTTACAAGAGATTCTGGTTTCTGGCTTGGGAGTTCTGTTAAAACCCGGGGCTGCAGCTCAGGGTGGAGCGCCTGCCTGGCAGGCACAGTGCCCTGGGTTCAGTCCCCTGCACTGCCAAACAAGAGAAAAAGGAAAATCTGGAGGTGGGGCTAGGGGTGTAGAGGATGGGCTTAGCATGCAGGAGGCCCTGGGTTCCATCCCCAGTCCCCGCTACCAGGCCCAGTTTGTGAGTGAGAAGTGGGGAATTAGAACCTGAATTGAGATGACAAAGGAGAACAATGGTAGGGGACATGTAATGAAGATACTGATATGTGACAAATATCTTTTCTTAAAAAAAAAAATATATATATATATATATATATATATATATATATATATATATATATAGCCACACACATAAACTCTGATTCTTCTTCAGCTGGGAATGTAATTCCAGCAACTCAGGAGGCTGAGGCAGGAGGATGACAAGTTTGAGGCCAGCCTCAGCAACTTAGTGAGACCCTGCCTCAAAATAAAAAATAAAAAGGGCTGGGGTGGTGGCTTTGTGGTAAAGCACCCCTGGATAAATCCCCAGGACCAAAATAAACAAACTAACCAGCTCTGCTTTTTCAATTTTTTTTAAATGTTGGGTTTGTTTTTGTTTTTGTATGGTGGACCCTGCTGGTATTTCTCTGATACAATCTCTTGCAAATCTTTTCTTGGCGGGCAGGAGGCCACTTGTTGCCGGTACCTGAGTGAGAGACTCGGTGATGGTGACGTCATCGTAGCTGGAGTTTGAATCCAAACTCATCCCCCCCCCCACTGACTTGGAAAAGAATCTAAACTTGGCAAAGTGCCTCCCCTGTCTTCAGCAGCAGGCTAAAAAGTGGCTCTGTGTCCCCTCTGCCACCCCCAGCTAATGGACTATATCTAACAGCCTCTCTTTAGAGAGCCTTTGAGGAGACAGGACGTTTGTTTTGGACCTCATTATCCATTTCAGCCTGTCCTGGATAAAAATAATCGCCCCTGGGCAGGTACGTTCCTCAAATTCCTCTCTGAGTCCCTGCTAGGACGTCCCTAACCCCAGTGGCCATGGGAAAATGCCTTGGCCAGCCTCAGGGCGTCCAAGGGGAGTGGGCCCGAGATAACGAGAGGTGGGGAGGTCAGAGTCCAGGCCCCTTTCATCTTTTCAGGCTGTTTCCAAACCAGACAAAGGGCCCTGGCCAGGGGTGCCGGGCCCACGCGGCTTTATTTTATGGTCTGGCCCTGGGAGGGGGTGGGGAGGCCGTGTCATATTTGGATATTGTTTTGGAGGCCAGCGCCTGGCTCCTGGGAAGTCCTGGCTTCCTGGGGGAATGCTAAGTGGAAGGCAGGGCCAGCAGCCCCTGCTCAGGGAAGGGACCACCCAGCTACTGAGAGGAGGGTGTGAAGGGCTGAATGCAGCCGGCCGCCCGGCGGGATTGTCATTCAGACAGCGAGATTAGGGGTGTGAGGCTGTGTAGCTGCTGCGAATCAGGGCCTCGGATTTGCCACCAAAGAGAAAAAGGGGAGGCAGAGAGCGGAAGGGAGGATGGGGAGGAGGAGGAGGAGGAGGAGGAGGAGGAGGAGGAGGAGGAGGCGGCCCAGGGCAGAACTGAATGGAGGGGGAAGGAGTTGGGAAGGCCCAGGAGAGCGTAGGTCCCCAGTGCCTCCCAATCTGACCCTCTTGGGCTTCACACTTTGAACAAGTCACTTCCTTCTTTTGTAAAACAAAGGGATTAGGGTCCCCCCCCCCAAGGTACCTGGGGCTGGCCTGGAGGAAGAGGAGGGGGCCCTAGGTGAGCTCAACCTTCTCCCCCTCTTTCTTCTGTGGTCACACTTTGTCACTTTTTCTGAAAAGCGACACAGCCATGTTATCAATGATTGAGAGTCCAGCACCCTCCATCTCACCCGGATCCCTAGCCCACGCCCCAGCACCTTCACACAATATCTGTGGTCCTGAGAGTGGCTGGGTCTCCCTTCCATCTTTTCCCTTATGTTTGTGTGTGTGTGAGCGTGTGTGTTGAACCCCGGGCCTCACCAGGCTATGCAAGTGCTTCACCTCCAGCCCCTTTGTATTTTTTGTTTGTGTTTTGGTTGAGCTCTTTATTTTGGAGACAGGGCCTTGCTAAGGGGTGGAGGCTGGCCTTGAACTTGCAATCCTCACCCCGAGTCCCCTGGGATTCCAGGTGTATGACCCACCTCCCCTGGCTGTCCCTGCCACCCTCACCTAAATTTTCATCATCACAGGTGTGAACTGTCACTCTAGGCCATCAAGATCTCCACACACTCGGGAGCCTGCCCGGGTACCAGGCTGGCGCCAAGCTCTCTAGTGGAGAACCTTCCAGGGAAATTCTGGACAGAGATGGAATCAAGGGGCTGCAGCAGGACGGAGAAAAAGCCCTGGTGGAGAGACCGCAGCCCAGGAAGGCTGCAGGTTGTTCCTTCCCTGTGGCCTTCTGGCCTTTCCAGTCACAGGACTTGATGTTCTGTGTGTCCCTCTTCAAGATCCTTCAGTACTTCACGTGGCCGAGACCAGCTTGGCATTCAGCACCTCGCTACGTGGCCCTTGCTTCTCACCCTTCCACCCTCAACTCTCTGACACTCCCCCCCCTTTTTTTTTTACCGAGCCTGGAACCCAGGGCTTAACCACTGAGCTTAACCACTGAGCCACATCCCCAGCCCTTTTGATTTTTTTATTTTGAGAGAGTTCTTGCTAAGTTGCTCAGGGCCTCGATAACTTGCTGAGGCTGGCCTTGAACCTGCAATTCTCTGGCCTCAGCCTCCCGAGTGGCTGGGATTACAGGCGTGTGCCACCAGATCCAGACTGGTTTTGTTGTTGCTGTTATTATTATTATTATTTGAGATAGGGTCCTGCTGCTGATTCCCAGGCTGGTCTTGAGCTGATGGGCTCAAGCACTCCTCCCAGGAGCTGGCACTCCGGGCAGGCAGTAGCATGCCCAGCTGTTTTAATGGAAGGCTTACAGTTCATTGTTGTAGGTTTCCTCTTCTTCAGTTTGAGGATATGGGCACCAAGGTTCAGAAAGTTCAAGGAATTTGCACAGGTCACATAGCCACAACGAGGCCCAGTGGACCTCAGCCCCCTAGGTCAAACCCAAGGTCATCCCACTCTTGCCATTCCCCTCCAGAGAAGATGGGCAGGAATACACAGATATCGGGGGTCAGTCCTCTCCCCCCAGCCACAGCCAAAACAGCAGAGGAGGTGATTTATTGTGTACTCTTACACTTGGCCACAACTGAGAATGGAACTAGTCCAGAAGGCCAAAGATCCTAGGCAAAGGACCAGCAGGGACTCTGCGTCATGAACAAGGTGGGCCTCTCCGAGGCGGTCTCGGCAACTGGAGGGAGATGGAAGTTCTAGATCCATTGAGGCCAATTCTGGAAGGCAGCACACTGTCCAACCACACAGCGTCCCGGGCCTCCTGATTTCTGCTCCTCTGGCCTTCCTGGAGCGCAGGCTGGTTTACTGGCCCTCTGCCTCATTTTCCTCTTGCTCTTCAGCCTGCACATTTGCTTCCTCCTCCTCAATGTTCTCATGACACAGAGATTTCCAGGGTGGCACCAAGGCTGAGCTTTTCTCTTCATTCCTGTGGCTCCCACATCTGAAACGCTTACTGTCTCCTCCAACGGCAAATGGAAGCCAGTGGAAAATACCTCCCCCTTTGGATCCCTTGATGGACAGTTGTGCACCTCCTTAGAAGGTTCCATGAGCTCAGACCTCTGTCTCCATTGTAGCCATCAGCTCAGTAGGGCTGGGGACAGAGCTCAGTTGGTAGAGTGCTTATCTGGCATGCACAAGGCCCTGGGTTCATCCCTAGCACTGCGGGGAAAGAAAATGCATCTTTGAGTTGTTTTTCTTGTCCTCTGTTTCCCTCTTATCTGGTCTCTGGAATTACATTCCCATATGAGCTACCCGCATGCAGACCTTTTATTAAGATTCTGCTCCTAGGGGAACCTGGGCTATGCCGGGTGGCATTTAATAACATGACACCGGATGAAATCAGCAAACAGAGTGATGGAAACAGGGAAGGGAGCTGGGGGATAGGTGCGGGCAGAGCACGTGCTGGCATGTGAGAGGCCCTGGGGTCCATTCCATCCCTGTGGGTGCATAAGAGAAAAAAATAGAAAGGAAGAAAGAATCAAAGAGACCCAAGCATTGAGTCATGGGACCCTCCAGCCTTCAGAGGTGATGGAGATGAGGAGAACCCAGCAAAGGGGACCCTGATAGGGTAACGGGAATAACTAAGAGAATGGAGAGTCTCAGAAGCCACCAAGAAGAAGGAGGGATCCATTGGTCTTGGCTGAGCAGTGAGGCAGTGAGGACCGGGAGGGTTAGCCACACCGGAGAACTGGCAGCATGAACAAAGAGCAGATGCAGATGTGGAGGTGAAGTGGGTTCAAGAGAGCGTGGACGAGATTAAGAATCAACAGTTATTTTGGGGTTTTCCTAGGAAAGGTGCATGGAAATAGGGTTGAAGCTGCAGGGGAAGTGGGGTCAGGAGAGACTTCTTGTTTTTTAAAGCTGGGTGAGATTACAGCATATTTATTTATGTGCTGATGAAACGATTCAGCAAAGAGGGAGAAAACATGATGCAGGGGAGAATCACTGGAGCCCAGGGT